GGATCGAGTCCCGAGCAGGGAGCCTGCTTCTCCCTCTGACCCTCCCCCCTCTCATGTGCTCTCTCTCTCTCATTCTCTCTCTCAAATAAATAAATAAAATCTTTAAAAAAAAAAAAATAACAGACCGCGGAAGGGCGGATACCGAACCAAAACAAATCCGCAAAAAGGCAGTTTACTGGCCCCACAGGCGCCTCATTCCGGAGACACCCACCTGACGCGGAGCTTCCCCAGACTCCACCAGCAGCTACCAACGACCGAACTCACTTCCCAAATTACCCCATCCCCGCGCTCCCTAGCGGTCGCTAGGGACGCTTCAGGTTTGTCTTCACCTCGCAGCGTTTCCGGAAGTTCTGGACGCGGAGGCGGCTCTATGACGCACGTGGCCACGCCCGCCTCGGCGATCTGGGCCCGAGAGGCTGAAGCGGCGGCGGCGGCCGAGCGCCGAAAGAGGAAACTGGAATCGATTGGGGGTATCTCCTTGCCTTTTCCGCCTTCTTGTTGGCTACAGCGCTGTAATGAGTAAGTCTTCAGAGGCGGACCCTATCCAAGGCGCGCGTCGCCGGGTGGTTTTCTAGTTAGCCTCTGGGGAAGATGGCGGCGCCCGTGAGCCATTACAGACGAGCACCGTGGGGGCGGCCATCTTTGCAGGAAGTGCAGTTCCCCTCGGTGGGGAAGACCTTGGGAGCTAAGGACAAGAGGAGCCTTCGACAGCCTTCGAGGTTTGTAGGAGCCAAGGCGTTAGAGGGGTGGCGGTCAGACCATGGACGAAATAAGGGAGACTTCGAGTTCTGGTGAGATTTGAGAGTGGGGCGGAGTGGAGGTAAGAACGAGTAGCGCAGTTCTGGATTAGGTAGGTCGGAGGCCTGTCCAAAGGGCCGACTGATGGTGGAGGGCGGGGCTGAGAAAATAGATCTCCTCAGGGACCTGGTAGGGGGCTACCTCTGGTAGGGAAGGGAGGGGGTGAGGCTTCAAATATACTCAAGTGTTTCCCCAAAATACCCGGGCACTGGAGAGTGATCAAATGATCTTTTATGCTACTACCTTTTTTTTTTTTTTTTAACATTTTATTTATTTGACAGAGACATAGCGAGAGAGGGAACACAAGCAGGGGGAGTGCGAGAGGGAGAAGCAGGGAACCTGATGGGCGGCTCGATCCCAGGACCCTGGGATCATGAACAAGCCGAAGGCTGACGCTTAACGACTGAGCCACCTAGGCACCGCTACGCTACTATCTTGTTTGGCATCATTTCCAAGTAAAATAAAGACCACACTTAAGAAATATTAGCCATTATTTTATGCAGGCAAAGAGGTGGGGGTAGTGAAGGATATAATCTATACATCTTCCCCCCCCAGGGTAATTTAGAATTATCTATACAGTTTAAATTTTTCATTCTCGTTGACCTAGAAATTCTAATGGTAAGAATCTTTGTTAAAAACTCTCTTTAGAACAAAGAATCCAATCAAGAAATGGGCAGAAGACATGAACAGACATTTTCCCAAAGAAGACATCCAAATGGCCAACAGACACATGAAAAAGTGCTCAATATCGCTCAGCATCAGGGAAATCCAAATCAAAACCTCAATGAGATACCACCTCACACCAGTCAGAATGGCTAAAATTAACAAGTCAGGAAATGACACATGTTGATGAGGATGCGGAGAAAGGGGAACCCTCCTACACCGTTGGTGGGAATGCAAGCTGGTGCAGCCACTCTGCAAAACAGTATGGAGGTTCCTCAAAAAGTTGAAAATAGAGCTACCATATGATCCAGCAATTGCACTACTGGATATTTACCCCAAAGATACAAATGTAGGGATCCAAAGGGGTGTGTGCACCCTGATATTTATAGCAGCAGTGTCCACAATAGCCAAACTGGAAAGAGCCAAGATGTCCATCGACAGATGAATGGATAAAGAAGAAGTGGTATATATATACAATGGAATATTATGCAGCCATCAAAAGGAATGAGATCTTGCCATTTGCAACAACGTGGATGGAACTGGAGGGTGTTATGCTGAGCGAAATAAGTCAATCAGAGAAAGACATGTATCATATGATCTCACTGATATGAGGAATTCTTAATCGCAGGAAACAAACTGAGGGTTGCTGGAGTGGGGGGTGGGGTGGGAGGGATGGGGTGACTGGTGATAGACACTGGGGAGGGTATGTGTTCTGGTAAGCGCTGTGAATTGTGCAAGACTGTTGAATCTCAGATCTGTACCTCTGAAACAAATAATGCAATATATGTTAAGAGAAAAAAAAAAGAAGGTAGCAGGAGGGGAAGAATGAAGGGGGGGAAATCGGAGGGGTAGACGAACCTTAAGAGACGATGGACTCTGAAAAACAAACTGAGGGTTCTAGAGGGGAGGGGGGTGGGAGGTTGGGTTAGCCTGGTGATGGGTATTGAGGAGGGCACGTTCTGCATGGAGCACTGGGTGTTATGCACAAACAATGAATCATGGAACACTACATCAAAAACAAATGATGTAATGTATGGGGATTAACGTAAGAATAAAAAAATTAAAAAAAAAACTCTCTTTAGGGGGCACCTTGGTGGCTCAGTTGGTTAAGCGACTGCCTTCAGCTCAGGTCATGATCCTGGAGTCCTGGGATCGAGTCCTGCATTGGGCTCCCTACTCAGCAAGGAGTCTGCTTCTCCCTCTGACCCTCCCCCCTCTCTCTATCTCATTCTCTCTCTCAAATAAATAAATAAAATCTTAAAAAAAAAAAAACCTCTATAGGGGTACCTGGGTGGTTCAGTTGGTTGAACACAGACTTGATTTTGGCTCAGATCATGATCTCAGGGTTGTAAGACTGAGCCCACTCAGGCTCACACTCAGCGGGGAGTTGCTTGAGATTCTCTCTCTCCCTTTCCACCTGCCCGCCCCCCATGTGCTCTCTCTCACTCGGGCTCTCTCTAAAATAAATAAATCTTAAAAGGGCGCCTGGGTGGCTCAGCTGGTTAAGCGACTGCCTTCGGCTCAGGTCATGATCCTAGAGTCCCGGGATCGAGTCCCGCATCGGGCTCCCTGCTCCGCGGGGAGTCTGCTTCTCCCTCTGACCCTCCCCCTCTCATGCTCTCTGTCTCCCATTCTCTCTCAGATAAATAAATAAAATCTTTAAAAAAAAAAAAAAAAGGCTGTTGGATTTCTGGGATTCTGCAGAATAGGCCACAGGTATGTGTTATCCTTCAAGTAAGGGGAGGTATGACTTTGAAAGGGGTTCAGAGATCCTGAGGGCTGCCATGGTCACCATGTGCCAGGCTGCCATTGCCCTGGGCTTTGGGGACAGGGCTGCTGCACAGGGCAGTGGGAGGAATCATGCAACCCAGACTGTCGGGGGATCACTGATGCTCCCGTGGGTCCGGGCAGACAGGGTTGCCATCGCTGTGGACCCAGAAGACAGAACATCCAGCAAAGAGGGTAACAGTTGACCCCTACAATGTAATGGAATTTGCCAGGCTTTCTAGGGCCACACAACTTGCTGCTGCTTCTCAATTTCTCCTTTTGGAATGGGAACGTCTATCTATGCCTATGCCTGTCCCACCACGGTTTTTTGGAAGCAGGGAATTCGTCTCTTTCAAAGGATGACAGCTGGATGGGTAGATGAATCACATCTGGAGTCATACCCACACTTGATCTGGAAGAGATTCAGGCCTTTCACTTGATGCTGGAAAGGGTTAAGACTTCAGGGCTGTCAGGATTGGAGTAAAGGTATTGTAAAAGTGAGAACAATATAAGTTTTGGAAGCCCACCAAGTGTTATGGGTGGTGTCCGCTCACCAAATTCATGTGTAATGAAAGATAGTCCCCAGAACTTCACAATAAGAATGTATTGGGAGAAAGGACCTTTGAAGGAGTGATTAAATTTAAATTGGGCCAACTGGGCGATCCTTAAACCAATATGACTGGTATCCCTATGATAAAAGGGAATTTGGACATACAGAGAAACACCTGAATCTGCTTGGACCCAGAGGAAAAACCTTGGAGGAAAAAGTGAAAAGGTAGCCACCTGCAAGCCAAAGAGGGAGACCTCAGAAGAAACCAAACCTGTCCTCACTTTGACCTGCAATTTAGCCTGCGGCATCCCACAGAGAAACACTGGGAAAGCATCACATTTGGGCCAGGAAGAAGCAGGAGAGGGGGAAAGCCTAGTCAGAGCCTTTATTGCAGTGTCCTGAGGAAAGACAAGGCAGGGCAGGATGAACAACTCAGAATCGGCGAGTGGGCCCTAATTGTCTGGTACCTGGTCCTGGGTTGATTTCAGGCAGTGGAAATATTGGCTTAGTGTGTCAGACCTTGAAAAAAAGATGTTTGGGGGTTTGGACTCTCTCTTTGTAAATCCGCATAAAAAGGGGTGCACTTGGGCGCCTGGATGGCTCAGTTGGTTAAGCGACTGCCTTCGGCTCAGGTCATGATCCTGGGGTCCTGGGATCGAGTCCCGCATCGGGCTCCCCGCTCGGCGGGGAGTCTGCTTCTCCCTCTGACCCTCCCCCCTCTCATGTGCTCTCTCTCATTCTCTCTCTCAAATAAATAAAATCTTCAAAAAAAAAAGGGGGGGTGCCCTTGTAAAGCCCTTTCCTATTTGTATGAATAGCTTAGTCATGGGAGAGGCAGCCTCTCGCTCACCAGCAAGGTCACAAATGTCAGAGCACCAAGAATACAGAAAATAAAGTAAATGTAACAGGCCCTGTGATGGATTTCAAATACAGAAACACAAAGGCTAATAAAAGAAAAAACCACAATTAGAACAGATCATTTGTCAGAAAAGAAAACAGGTACTGTGGGACCTTCTTTCTGAACAACTTCACCCCTCCTCTCTTTCCTGCATCTTTATCCCCAGACGGGATGTGCGATTAATTCTCGGTCCCCAGTGAAGCCCTGGGCTGACATGAGACAGAGGCAGATCCTATAGAGAGGGAAAATCTCTGGCTCTCAGGGGTGGCCTTCTGGATGCTGGAGGTAGCACTCATCACTGTCCCTGGCTCGAGGTAAGAGGGAGGCTTCTGGTCACTAATGAGTCCGTCCATGGCCTCTCCCTTGTCCTGGGGCCACTGCTGAGCTGACCTCCTCCAATGCTTGCAGTTCATGTGTGCACTCGCTTCTTTCCTAGGATTGGGCCAAGGTCTGTCTGGCTCTCCCAGGTTTCACTATCCCTACTGTTCACAATGAGAGCTCTGGCTGTAAGTGGATTCAGACTTTTTCAGAAGCTGATTCTTATGTGGCTTTTGGAAAAGGAATTTCCAGTCTTTGCTCTCCTGGAGTGAAGTCACTGATATATATGCCTGAGCTTGCCCTTTCCATGGCAGGAATGGATTATTTTGTGCACAAATATTTCTGCTTTATGTTTGAAAGGATGATGGGAACTCTTCCCTCTGGAATGGGAGATTCTAGTTCTGCATTCTGTCCTTAATATCATCCTGATTTCAATCTTGTACAATCATCTGTCCCTTCAGTTGGGGCTGAATTCTTATCGTGGACCTTTGGAACCTACAGCTTTGGGGTATTGGGGTCCAACTACAAGGGGTGTTCCCTCAGCCCTCCACAGGGCTCTAACAACACCTGGGATGCTAACAGATTTCCACCAAATACAGTCTGGAGATGAGCCAGCGAAACACTAAAAGCCAAGTTGCTGAGGAGGGCACTGTAGTGGAACCACTTTGAAACTGGTGCTGGGACTCTACCTCCAAATTTAGCTTCAACTCACCATCAAAACAGCTTGTGGGCCGCCTGGATGGCTCAGTCAGTTAAGTGTCTGCCTTCGGCTCAGGTCATGATCTTGGGATCCTGGGATCAAGCCCTGCATCAAGTGCCCCACTCAGTGGGGAGTCCGCTTCTCCCTCTCCCTCTGCCGCCCCCCTGCTTGTGTCCTAATAAGTAAATAAAATCTTAAAAAAAACCCCAAAAAACAGCTTGTTAAAAATGACTTTCCTACTACATTGGCAACCAGCATTCATGGTGGAGGAGACCATGGTGTGGTTACTGGAGCCCGTAGTGGCTCCTGATCCCCATTTAACTTCTGAAAGGTTTCCACCATGTCTTAGGTCTTCTCTTAATGTAAGCTAAGGATCAGGGGACCTCTCAGCCTTAACTTCTTCCCTGAACTTCTAAAATTCTTGTTGCCTTAGGTGTTGCTATTCCTTAGCTAGAGTCTGTTGTTCCCTGTACAGCAAACAAATCTGTCCTCTGCCCCAAACGTGACAGTCTCCCTATGATCTAAGGCTTTTTCCTATAGAACATCTATGAACTACAGTCTACAATAAAAGCTGCCCATGCCATTGCCTGAAAGACCTGCACATGCATAGGAATCCAGGCAGAATTGCCCCCAACAATATCCACCCCTCACTACTGTATTCACGCTTACCTGATATGCCCCTGAGTACACTCCTGGGAAACCACTCTGGTTCATCTCACTGTGGAGCTAGCACCAAATCCACTCAATTTCACTCAAAAAGCATTTGATGAAACTACTGTTTTCAGGATGACAGGTATCAGAATGAGGCCAAGCTGCTGTATTCACCTCCATTCTGCCTACGTGTGTCCCATACTGAAGCGGCCGATGAAACGCCAATGCGCATCAGTGTCCTCCTTTGAATGGTATGTGGCTTCTCCTTACATTCATTGTTGACTTTTCCAGAATGGGAAATGAATTAACAACAGGATACTGTACAAAAACATACAATTTATTTTTCCTGGTATGATTAAAGGATTTTATGTTCCTTATCCAGGAAAAGCAGAGCCTGGGTATAGTAGAGTCTTGACTCATGAGCAGGAAGGGGCTGACAGCTGGAAAACACACAGAAATCACCACAACAGTATTCACCAGCAACCATCTGGGATTATAAAAAAGACCAATACAAGCATGAAAGATGGAGGAGAGTAAGTAAAAAGACACAAAGGTGGTCACCAGGATAAGGATGCTCTGGGTGGCTCTGGACTCAGCACAGGATCTGGGGAGACATTATTAGTCCTGTGAATGTGTTGGCCCCACTGCCTGTGCCTGTGCAGGATGAAAACCATGGAGCCACTGGCCCAGATCATGAGCCCAGAAAATGAAACTTCAGAGAATATTATCAACAGTGCATAGAGCGGGGCTGTGACTGTCTCATGATCTATAGTAAAACAGTACCATAAATTTCCTTCGTCTGTGATGTTTTTCACGTTCCGTTTATCAGACACATAAAACACATACACATGAAAAATTAAATTTACAAACATGTACATGACCCAGCAGAAGGAGATGGAGAAGCCAACATACTTTGGGGCTTTGACTTTAAGATCCTTCCAAAAGGAGTTCATGGGGCTGATCCTGATGGTCTGGAACACACTCAAGAGGCAGGTGCTGCTAAGAGATACTCCCCTGCTCACTCTCTGAACATACAAAAGAAGTTTGCATCCAAATTTACTTAAAAAACTGTTTCAACCTGGGCGCCTGGGTGGCTCAGTTGGTTGAGCGACTGCCTTCGGCTCAGGTCATGATCCTGGAGTCCCGAGATCGAGTCCCGCATTGGGCTCCCTGCTTGGCAGGGAGTCTGCTTCTCCCTCTGACCCTCCTCCCTCTCATGCTCTCTCTCATTCTCTCTCTCTCTCAAATAAATAAATAAAATCTTTAAAAAAACAAAAAAACAAAAAAACTGTTTCAATCCAGAAGCCGCCGTTGTCTGGGGGACTCCTTTAGAGAGAAGAACCAAGGAGTTGGAGATGATCAGGTGCTTGAGAATCAAATGGGTGGACCTCACCTTGCATTCAGTGTGGCAGAGGAACAGGTAATGGCAAAGAAGAGATAGTGGGATAGTGGGGCACCTGGGTGGCTCAGTCATTAAGCATCTGCCTTCGGCTCAGGTCATGGTCCCAGGGTCCTGGGATCGAGCCCCGCATCGGGCTCCCTGCTTGGCGGGAGGCCCGCTTCTCGCTCTCCCACTCCCCCTGCTTGTGTTCCCTCTCTCGCTGTGTCCCTGTCAAAAAAATAAGTAAAATCTTAAAAAAAAAAAAAAAAAAAAAAGAGAGAGAGAGAGAGATAGTGCCCACAATTTCAACTGTCGTCAGTGACAGGGAGATTATTCCTATTATCAAATCCCTGGAGGCTATTCTGTCATTCAACATGTTTTCCTAAAAAATTATGGCAACAATTATTCCTCTGAGCAACAAGGCCAACTGAAGTTTTGACACCCAGAACCACTTTCATTGTGTGCTCCTGCTCAACTGCCAAAACTATCGGAGAGACACCTAGTACATTTCAGGTAAAAGTCAGCAGTAAGGGGCGCCTGGGTGGCTCAGTCGGTTAAGCGACTGCCTGCGGCTCAGGTCATGATCCTGGAGTCCCAGGATCGAGTCCCACGTCGGGCTCCCTGCTCGGCGGGGAGTCTGCTTCTCCCTCTGACCCTCCCCCCCTTTCATGTGCTCTCTCTCTCTCATTCTCTCTGTCTCAAATAAATAAATAAAATCTTTAAAAAAAAAAAAAAAAGAGTAACTAGAGGGGCGCCTGGGTGGCTCAGTCGGTTAAGCGACTGCCTTCGGCTCAGGTCATGATCCTGGAGTCCCGGGATCGAGTCCCGCATCAGGCTCCCTGCTTGGCGGGGAGTCTGCTTCTCCCTCTGACCCTCCTCCCTCTCGTGCTCTCTCTCTATCTCATTCTCTCTCTCAAATAAATAAATAAAATCTTTAAAAAAAAAAAAGTCAGCAGTAAGGATGAGGGGGTGTTAACCTGGGAGAGGTAATGACAAGTGAGAGCAAATGGAAAGAAAGAATAACACACGATCTTCAGAAGAAGTTGAAATTCGCTAGCCCTACTGGAGAAAAGAGAAAACTTGATCACTAGCCACACCATAAACCAAGTCAACTGTGAATAGATTGCTGATCTAAATTTTAAAGGCATAATATGTTTTTTAAGAAAAATAAAAACTTTCATTTGGTCCTTGAACAAAATATTTCTTAAACAGCACTGAATATATTAATCACATGATAAAATGATTTCATATTAAGGGGCGGTTCTCATCAAAACACCCCACCACACATACAATCTGTAACCAGCTTCCCATTCAATTGATGATATATAAAATTTATGAGCCAAAAGTCATTGCTATGGCTTTACCAACAGACAAATACGATCTCAACAACGTCCACTATCCATTTCCCTGTGAGGGTTTTTCATCATATGAGAGGTTGGAGGAACCACAGTCCACCTAGCACCACACCTAGTTCTTTTTGTTTTTTTAACTTAAATTCAATTTAGTTAACATATACTGTATTATTAATTTCAGGGATAGAATTTAGTGATTCATTAGTTGTATATAATACCAGTGCTCATTACATCAAGTGCTCTCCTTAATGCCCACCACCAAATTACCCCATTCCCCCACCCACCTCCCAACCAGCAACCCTCAGTTTGTTTCCTATAGTTAAGAGTCTCTTAATGGTTTGCCTCCCTCTGTTTTCATTTTATTTTCCTTCCTTCCTCTATTTTCATCTGCTTTGTTTCTTAAATTCCACATGAGTGAAATCACATGGTATTTGTCTTTCCCTGCCTGATTTATTTCACTTAGCATAGTACCCTCTAGTTCCATCCACATTGTTGCAAATGGCAAGATTTAGGTTTTTTTGATGGCTGATATTCCATTCAATGGATATACACCACATCTTCTTTATCCATTCATCTGTCAATGGATATCTGGGCTCTTTCCATAGTTTGGCTATTATGGACATTACTGCTATAAACACTGGGGTGCATGTACCCCTTTGAATCACTATATTTGTATCCTTTGGATAAATACCTAGCAGTGCTATTGCTGGGTCATAGGTAGTTCTATTTTTAACTTTTTGAGGAACCTCCACACTGTTTTCCAGAGTGGCTGCACCAGCTTGCATTCCCACCAACAGTGTAAGAGGGTTCCCCTTTCTCTAAATCTTCACCAACATCTGTTGTTTCCTGAGTTGTTAATTTTAGCCATTCTGACCAGACCACACCCATTTTTTTTTTTTTTAAATATTTAATGGGACCACACCTACGTCTGACACCAATTCAAGTTCAGGGTTCCTAAAACCACACACAGTTCTCAGAATTCTCCAGAAGGACTCCTAGAAGTCACCAAGAGCTGTTGTACTCACCACTATGGTTTACTAATCTGTATCTGAAAGGATAGGATACAGATTAATACCAGACAGGGAAGAAGTGTATGGGGTAGAGTCCAGGAGAAGTATGAAAGCAGAGTTCCAGTGTCCCTTCTGTGAAGTGATGGATGTGTTACTCTCCAGACATTGATATTTGAAAATACTCATAACATAATGCCACCAGGGATGTTCACCCAAACCTGGGTGCTCACACTTTTTACTGGAGCTCAACCAAATACTGACTGGATGGCTGGTGTTTATTCTCCTGTTCTAGGGAAGTCTGGCTGATAGCTTTTGTGTTCAGCTACTCCAGAAGCAGACCTGACACTGCATGGCCCAACGTCCCATCATAAATCACTATCAGACTGTCTGGTGGCCATGCCCTGAGATAAACAAAGGCAATACTATGAGCATGACATTCCAAGGGGTGGAGATTATCTTCCAGGGTGTGATGGCAAAGGACAGACTCTGTTAAATTTTGTTAAATTTTCCCTATATCCCCCCTACTCATCCAATATCCCAGTACAGGAATAGAACCATATGGCTGTCAACCCATTCGGCAAACACACAGGAACATGCACATACATGTTCACGCACTCAGGCACACACACACACAGTACACACACTCAAGACTCAAACACACAGAAATACACACTCACATACAGTCTTTCCCATCCTGGTATATAGAGGCTCACACCCACAACACATGTGCACACTGACCACATACAGACACACACATTCATACACACTCACAATACACACCCAAACACCACTGTACTACTCAATTTCACAAAAACCCTCACAAAGTCACCAGGTGTATGCTTCTCAGAAAAATGTGGGTTTTTTTGTTCTGTTTTGTTTTTCTGGATTTCAAGTTATATCACAAAGCTGTAGTAATCAAAACAATATGGTACTGGCACAAAAACAGACACACAGATCAATAGAACAGAACAGAAAACCTATCCTATAATTCTTTTTTTTTTTCTGGTATTACACTCTTTTATTTAGAGTTTAAACTAAATGCAGAGCTCTCCACATCTCTATAACAATTTTTTTAAGTTAAAAAGTATTTTTTTTTTACGTTTTTGATGTAGCGTTCGATGATTCATTGTCTGCATATAACACCCAGTGCTCCATGCAATACGTGCCCTCCTTAATACCCATCACCAGGCTCACCCATCCCCCAACCCCCCTCTAGAACCCTCAGTTTGTTTCTCAGAGTCCATAGTCTCTCATGGTTCATCTCTCCCTCCGATTTCCCCCCCTTCATTTTTCCCTTCCTTCTCCTAGTGTCCGCCATGCTATTCCTTATGTTCCACAAATAAGTGAAACCATATGACAATTGACTTTCTCTGCTTGACTTATTTCACTTAGCATAATCTCCTCCAGTCCCATCCATGTTGATGTAAAAGTTGGGTATTCATCCTTTCTGATGGCTGAGTAATATTCCATTGTATATATGGACCACATCTTTATCCATTCGTCTGCTGAAGGGCATCTCAGCTCCTTCCACAGTTTGGCCACAGTTTGCTGCCATGAACACTGGGGTGCATATGGCCCTTCTTTTCATTACATTTGTATCTTTGGGGTAAATACTCAGTAGGGCAATTGCAGCAAATATCATTCTCAATGGGGAAAAGCTAAGAGCCTTTCCCTTAAGATTAGGAACATGACAAGGATGCTCGCCACTATTGTTCAACATAGTACTGGAATCCTAGCAACAACAATCAGACAACAAAAAGAAATAAAAGGTATTCAAATTGGCAAAGAAGAAGTCAAACTCTCTCTTCGCAGATGACATGATACTTTATGTGGAAAACCCAAAAGACTCCACCCCAAAATTACTAGAACTCATACAGCAATTCAGTAATGTGGCAGGATACAAAATCAATGCACAGAAATCAGTTGCTTCCCTATACACTAACAATGTAACTGTAGAAAGAGAAATTAGGGAATCAATTCCATTTACGATAGCACCAAAAACCTTAAGATACCATGGAATAAACCTAACCAAAGAGGTAAATGATCTATACTCTAGAAACTACAGAACACTTATGAAGGAAATTGAAGAAGACACAAAAAGATGGAAAAACATTCCATGCTCATGGATTAGAAGAAAAAACATTGTTAAAATGTCTATGCTGCCCAGAGCAATCTATACTTTCAACGCCATCTCTATCAAAATACCAATGGCATTTTTCCAAGTGCTGGAACAAACAATCCTAAAATTTGTATGGAACCAGAAAAGACCCTGACTTGCCAAGGAATTGTTAAAAAAGAAAAACAAAACTGGGGGCATCACGCTGCCTGAT